CAGGGTGTTGTCCAGACTGCGGTGGCGAAGTCTGGCAAAGGTGCTGTGCAGGGTGCTGTGCAAGGTGCTCTGCAGGGTGTTGTGTAGAGTGCGGTGACGAAGTCTGGCAAAGGTGCTGTCCAGACTGCGGTGGCGAAGTCTGGCAAAGGTGCTGTGCAGGGTGCTGTGGCAGGTGCTGTGCAGGGTGCTGTCCAGACTGCGGTGGCGAAGTCCGGCGAAGGTGCTGTGCAGGGTGCTGTGCAAGAGTGCTGGTTCAGACCTGCAATGGCGAATCTGGCACAGGTGCTGTGGCATGTGGTGTTGGCAAGGGTGCGTGTTCAGGTGCTGTGCAGGGTGCTGTGCAGGGTGCTGTGCAGGGTGCTGTGCAAGGGGGCTGTGCAGGGTGCTGTGCAGGGTGCTGTGCAGGGTGTTGTCCAGACTGCGGGGGCGAAGTCTGGCAAAGGTGCTGTGCAGGGTGCTGTGCAGGGTGTTGTCCAGACTGCGGTCTGGCAAAATTGCTGTGCAGGGTGCTGTGCAGGGTGCTGTGCTGTTCAGACTGCAGTGGCGAAGTCTGGCAAAGGTAACATAAATTCTAACTTCTGGGAACCGGCAATTCCTTGCAATGGTAACCTCTGGTTCCCAGGTTGGGAACCGTAAGTTTCAAGGTCTGGGAACCGGCAGTTCCTTGCCATGGTAACCTTTGGTTCCCACGTAGGGAACCGTCAGTTCCAACCTTTAGGAACCGGAAGTTCTTTGCAATGGTAACCTATGGTTCCCAGGTTGGGAAGCATGAGTTCCAACCTCTGGTAACCGGCAGTTGCTTGCAATGGTAACCCATGGTTCCCAGGTTGGGAACCAGGAGTTCCAACCTCTTGGAACCGGCAGTTCCTTGCAATGGTAACCTGTGGTTCCCACGTTGGCAACCGTGAATTCCAACCTTTGGGAAGCGGCAGTTCCTTGCCATGAACCAAACGCAAACATTCCGGTACCGGCCCATTAAGCAAAACAAAGCGTTCTGTACCGGTCCATTAAGTAAAACTATAAAATTGTAAAGAAACTGTTTTCATATCATTTTGACATGCACCTTTTTCGTGCAAAAACATTTTTATGCCGGCCCAGCAGCCGAACGCAAACATTCCGCTACCGGTCCATTAAGCAAAACAAAAGGTTCTGTTACCGGCTCAGTAAACAAAACAAAACAACATTAAGAACCATGAGTTCTAACTTTTTGCAATCAACAGATCCTTCCAACTGGGAACGTTACATTTTCAGGCTTGGAACATCTTGGAACCATGAGTTTCAAGCTTTGGGAACCCGCAGTTCCTTACAATGATAGCCGCTTAGCTTCGACAACATAAATTCTAACTTCTGGGAACCGGCAATTCCTTGCAATGGTAACCTCTGGTTCCCAGGTTGGGAACCGTAAGTTTCAAGGTCTGGGAACCGGCAGTTCCTTGCCATGGTAACCTTTGGTTCTCACGTTGGGAACCATCAGTTGCAACCTTTAGGAATTTGAAATTCTCTGCAATGGTAACCTATGGTTCCCAGGTTGGGAAGCATGAGTTCCAACCTCTGGGAACCGGCAGTTGCTTGCAATGGTAACCCATGGTTCCCAGGTTGGGAACCAGGAGTTCCAACCTCTGGGAACCGGCAGTTCCTTGCAATGGTAACCTGTGGTTCCCACGTTGGCAACGTGAGTTCCAACCTTTGGGAACCGGCAGTTCCTTGCCATGAACCAAACGCAAACATTCCGGTACCGGTCCATTAAGCAAAACAAAGCGTTCTGTACCGGTCCATTAAGCAAAACCAAAAAATTGTAAAGAAACTGTTTTCATATCATTTTGACATGCACCATTTTCGTGCAAAAACTTTTTTTTGCCGGCCCAACAGCCAAACGCAAACATTCCGCTACCGGTCCATTAAGCAAAACAAAAGGTTCTGTTACCGGCTCAGTAAACAAAACAAAACAACATTAAGAACCATGAGTTCTAACTTTTTGCAATCAACAGATCCTTCCAACTGGGAACGTTACATTTTCAGGCTTGGAACCATGAGTTTCAAGCTTTGGGAACCCGCAGTTCCTTACAATGATAGCCGCTTAGCTTCGAAAACATAAATTCTAACTTCTGGGAACCGGCAATTCCTTGCAATGGTAACCTCTGGTTCCCAGGTTGGGAACCGTAAGTTTCAAGGTCTGGGAACCGGCAGTTCCTTGCCATGGTAACCTTTGGTTCCCACGTTGGGAACCATCAGTTGCAACCTTTAGGAATTTGAAATTCTCTGCAATGGTAACCTATGGTTCCCAGGTTGGGAAGCATGAGTTCCAACCTCTGGGAACCGGCAGTTGCTTGCAATGGTAACCTCTGGTTCCCAGGTTGGGAACCATGACTTCTAACCTGTGGGAACCGGCAGTTCCTTGCCATGGTAACCTTTGGTTCCCACGTTGGGAACCATCAGTTCCAACCTTTAGGAATTGGAAGTTCTTTGCAATGGCAACCTATGGTTCCCAGGTTGGGAAGCATGAGTTGCAACCTCTGGGAACCGGCAGTTGCTTGCAATGGTAACCTCTGGTTCCCAGGTTGGGAACCATGACTTCTAACCTGTGGGAACCGGCAGTTCCTTGCAATGGTAACCTGTGGTTCCCACGTTGGCAACCGTGAGTTCCAACCTTTGGGAACCGGCAGTTCCTTGCCATGAACCAAACGCAAACATTCCGGTACCGGTCCATCAAGCAAAACAAAGCGTTCTACCGTACCGGTCCCATTAAGCAAAACCAAAAAAAAGGAAAGAAACTGTTTTCATATCATTTTAACATGCACCTTTTTTCGTGCAAAAACTTTTTTTTGCCGGCCCAACAGCCAAACGCAAACATTCCGCTACCGGTCCATTAAGCAAAACAAAAGGTTCTGTTACCGGCTCAGTAAACAAAACAAAACAACATTAAGAACCATGAGTTCTAACTTTTTGCAATCAACAGATCCTTCCACTGGTAACGTATGCTTTTTCAGGTTTGGAACCATGAGTTTCAAACTTTGGGAATCCGCAGTTCCTTACAATGATAGTTGCTTAGCTTCGAAAACATAAATTCTAACTTCTGGGAACCGGCAATTCCTTGCAATGGTAACCTCTGGTTCCCAGGTTGGGAACCGTAAGTTTCAAGGTCTGGGAACCGGCAGTTCCTTGCCATGGTAACCTTTGGTTCCCACGTTGGGAACTGAACCATCAGTTCCAACCTTTTCTATCTGGGGTCTATGCCGGTGTAATGATATATTTTGCTTGTGATTTCACGGCAAACATGTTGAGACATACCCATGTCGTGACTACGGGAGCATGGTCTTGCTGTCTCTAATCTGTCTTGCTTATCTATAGTCATCCGAGAAGTCACGTCTTCCAATGTTCATCCAATGCCATTGCTTGAGGTGCGTCTTGCCGTTCAGCTAAATTCGAGGCTGGAATCGATTCTCAAACCGCCAATGTGCTGCGGCTGCATGCGTGCAAACTACCTTTCTACTTCTCACCACAGATATATCATCTGTGGTTGCTTTGTTGACTTGCACAAATATGTCTATTTTGCCTCTGGAAAGCAAACCAGAACCATGCAGCATCCCTCAAGTTCCACAAAGATTTGCCAAAGCCAATGACAAGTTGAAAAAGCTGATTATATAGATTTGATGAGATTTGATAAGATCTGATTATATACGTAGTGTTGTTTGATACAGTTTGATATGGTGGGAGGTACCAAGGAGGATCTAAGGAATGTGCGATCGCCACTGCGGCCTCGTCTTGAGAAGGGATTAGCCTTGACGGATGGCAGGTCGTCCGTTGCGTTTCTATTCCTCTGGTAGATATGGAATGATATGGAGGGGAATCAGAGATTGCTGCCTAAAGAGCTATGAAACTGAAGATTGCTAGAGACATCTAGAGAAGACATCTAGAGAAGACATCTAGAGACTCGCAAGACAGAATCTCAAACGGTGAACGAAGTTCAGACTTTCGGAGGCTGGGTGCCCTGCCAGCATGGTCCACTGGCGAACCTCGATTCGCCCGACCCTCAACGGCCCAGCAGAATGAAATGCTATGAAACAACACTTCCAAAATCTTCCAAGCAAACTACACTGCCAAAGCAAAGACGACGGCATCTGCGGCATCTGTCTTTGATATGGAACTAACATGAAGTAACTACGACAAATATGCTGAAGCCCCTGGACACTGCCACTGGTTCTTAACTGTCCTGTTCAAAGCACCCACTTTGTGGTGCCACTTCTGACAATCAAATTGAAGAATGGTATCACTGTTGCAATATGTTGCAATATGTTGCAATATGTTGCAATATGTTGCAATATGTTGCAATATGTTGCAATCACGCCAATCATACCCCAGTCATGTGCCAATCATGTGCCAATCATGTGCCCATATCGATGCCAACTTGAGGCCATGGCGGCAAGGGCCCTTTGCCATCCCAGGGGATGGAGTTGTGAGCACCACAACCTCGGCCATGGACGCTGCCAGACCCGTTCCTTGTCCGTTCCTGCGCTCGAGTTTCGAGGCAGCGGCCCATCATCGCGACCTCTTTGCCCCAACCAATCCTCGGGGTGTAAATATTGGATACATATGGGCTTGTCCAACTCCAGGCTTGTGGTGTGGAATACCATGAGAAACAAATTACAATCGGGGCTGCAAGAAGCAAAAGGTCGAACATGCTCAGAGGTCGAAACTGTCAATCACCCGTGGCAATGCAACCAACAATAGTGAAGTGGGATCTAGATGTGTACAACTTGCCCAGAATCTTGAAAGGGCAACATCATGAGCTGTCCGCATGTACACCAACCTTTGAGGAACCTTCGAGAAAGTGCGACAGCTACATACAAATGAAGAATATTTGTTCCACCTGCTAGCAGGCAGCCCTGTGTTTTATTGTGTTTTGTAATTTGCAGTGCTTCAACGGTCGGAAGGACACAGCAAGAGGCTGCAAGAGGCTCTGGCTTTGGCACCAACTGGAAACGCTGTGCCTGCAGGGCCCACCCCGACGCCAAGCCCAGCCCATCTCAAAAAAACTTGTTGGCTCCGCATGCTGTTGGTTGTGCCACCTCAATGGCTGGTCTGCACACTTGGATTTGGGATATTCAGTTTCATCAGTTTCATGAGATTCATCAGCTGATATTGACTCAATGTATCTCAATGTATCTCAATGTATCTCAATGTATCTCAATGCATCTCAATGCATCTCAATGCGACTCATGAACTCGTTTTGACTTTCACATTTTCCTGCTGTCGCACCAACAACTCTCAGTTTCGCCTGGGGCGCTGGTCCCATGCTCCGGAGCTCAGACTGCCTCGAACGGGGACCCGGTGACTGACCCAGGGACTCCCAGGGACTCCCAGGGACTCCCAGGGACTCCCAGGGACTTGGCAATGGCATGCAATGGATTGCAATGGCATCATGGCTGCGTCCAAGTGCTTCGTTTAGGTGCCCTGCAGTTGCCCGACCAAGTCTTCTCGACCTTCCTGCACCAAATCATGGAAAAAGTAATGTTTCATGGATTCATGGAAAAGATCTTTTCAGAATTGATGAGTTCCAAGGTTGGGAATCCTCCTGTGACCACTCGAAGGTTTCTGGGTTCCAGTTTCAAGGCACTCTCGCTTGATTGATCAGATCTGATCTGTGCTTTCCATCCAAGGCAAGCTATCGGACTCGACGAAAGTCTCAAGAGTGCTGACACGCATACTTCCAATAAGAATCAATAAGCCACAAAAGGGCATTGCGCTTACATAAACAATACATAACAATACTGTACACATCGCAGTCCACCATTTTTAAATGCGCTCAAGTCGACGCCGCACATCGATTCAATGCCAGTTTCAAGCTGTCAGTCCTCGTGACAAGCTGCAATGGCATCACCATAGCAACTGGGAGTGGGTAGCAGCCTCCAGATTCAGTTGGCATAAATGGAAACATGTCGACATGCCCGCAGTTGACCTTGCGCTTAACATCAGCAAAATGCCATGCACGGCCGTGATCTAAAGTTTTTTTCCAGCCACAAGTCTCGAAGTTTGAATTTTGGTTTGACTTTTCAAGCGGGGCAAGTGAAGCTTGCAAGGCTCAATTCAGCCACGTTAGGCGTCTTGGTGCCCGACTCCTTCTTCCACATTTCTTCCAAGACTTCAGACGCCTTGCTGCCACCGCCACCTATCAAAGCGGCAGGGTAAGCTGTGTCAACGACCATCCAAGTCGAAGACACATTCAAGACCAATGCCGCTATTCAAGAATTTAAGAGACTAAAACCATCTGGTGGATTCTCGAGCGGGTATTGGTTGGCTGCACCAAGGGGTACTGGACCAAAACTGGTCCGAAAATCAACAGATCAGAGACCTCTGTTGACCCATTGTTGACCCATTGTTGACCGTGCAGCCTCGGCGGCAGGCTTGTAGTACCAAGGAGTAGCAAGGCACATCTGGCTGTAGGCCATGTGAACGCATCTCCTTTACAAAAGCCAATGAAGGTGGCACTGGGTTGAAGTCTTAAACATCTCCAACTGTTTCGAAGCGACAGTCACTTTGCAAAATTCTACAGACTGTATCCGCATCTTGGAATGCAAATACACATTGGACCTGGTGCACGTGGTGCACCTGGGCCTTCACTTCTCTGCTTTTGGAAGGCTCCTCCAGCAGTGAGGAAGCATGTTGCCAGTCGCCACCGGCACTGGCATCCTGGAGGAGTGCCTAGCAATGGAGCAGGTGTAGAGACTGAACACTGTAGACATCTCTGTAAACATCTCTGGACCATGATGCTGCCAGAAATCTGGACAACGCACACACTGGCAAGCTCTTCTAAGGTATCTAGGGCCAAAGAAGGCCAGCTGTATAGAGTTCAAAACAAAATGGAAGAGTTGTCAGTGGATGTAAAATGCTCCATCTGAGAAATGCGCTAAATAGCCATCCATGTCCCAGGCTTCATAGTTCAGAAAGTCATACCTCAGCTCGATGCTTCAAAGGAAGCGGACTAACCGCCTTTTGAAGGTAGAATTGAACAAGGGACCAGCAGAGGAAAATTAGCGTGTGTGTGTGCATATATATATATATATATACAATATGTGCATATATTGTGTGTATATATATATATATACAATATGTGCATATATATATATTACAATGTGTATATATATATATATATTTGTGTGTGTGTACTCGTATGCATTCAAAATTGTAATTATATATATATATACAGCGATATAAAGCGATATAAAGCGTATGATAGCGAATTCTAAAGTGAGCTCTAAAATAGGGTTGCTGCATGGACAGCTGAATTGACGCGACATGGCCCTGAAGTCGAACCATCAGATCAAGTTGAGTGCCATGCTCCGGATATTGCCAGTAATCCAAGTCATCTGCCTGACCCAATCGTGAGAGCCAGTTTTGGTGGATATAGGAAAGGATATACTTGCCTATGTGTAGACGTATCTACTGTACATGTGTATATATATATATACGGCAAATGCCTGGGTTTTGCCCGGACCCGCAATGACGACAGGCGACGCATCATCATCATCATCATCATCATCATCAGAATTAAACCCTTATTGAAGATCTTCAATGAATGTAGAAATGAATGTAGAAGTTTAACGGGGTGGGGAGAATTAAACCCTTATTGAAGATCTTCAATGAATGTAGAAGTTTAACGGGGTGGGGAGAATTAAACCCTTATTGAAGATCTTCAATGAATGTAGAAGAGAATTAAACCCTTCTTGAAGATCTTCAATGAATGTAAAATTTAACGGGGTTGGGAGAATTAAACCCTTATTGAAGATCTTCAATGAATGTAGAAGTTTAACGGGGTGGGAGAATTAAACCCTTATTGAAGATCTTCAATGAATGTAAGGTTTAACGGGGGTGGGAGTTTAATATTCCCTAGTACCTTTGTTGATCTTCCCAATTGAATGTAAAGTTTAACGGGGGTGGGATTTTTATATTCCCTAGTGCCTTTGTTGTTTTTTCCCATAGGAATTTAAGGTTTAACGGGAGTAACTGTTTAATATTCCCTAGTACCTTTGTTGATCTTCCCAATTGAATGTAAAGTTTTACGGGGGTGGGAGTTTAATATTCCCTAGTACCTTTGTTGTTTCCCTTGTTTTTCCCATAGGAATTTAACGTTTAACGGGGTGGGAGTTTAATATTCCCTAGTACCTTTGTTGTTTTTTCCCATAGAAATTTTGTGAAGTTGCATCAGCATTTATTTGGGAATGGGAAGCCTCTACGCTGCAACGCCTGGGCAAAACCCAGGCGTTGCGCGTATATATATATATATATATATATCCAGGGTCGAAATGCTTGCGTGCTACATGTGTATATTATACACAGGCAAACTCTATCATATACATACAAACAGAATCAAACAGAAAGATGTGATTCTCCAGGCATACGAATAGATGTTACTCTGCAATGATCTCTGAAGTCAGCTAAGTGGTTCAGAAGAAATCTCTTGTGGTCGTTGTTTTGCAAGTGCCGAAAATGTCTTCCGTATCTTTGCACAAACTTCCTTCATGGAAGCATAGAGGTGTAGAGCAAGCTTCCCGCACCTCTGGAGCATATGCACTTGGAGGGCAAAAAGCCACCTGTCCGTATCGCTTTGAAATGCAAGCGACTACAAGCCCTTGCAAGGGGCAACATGCAAAACAGATCAGTGCCAGTAGACAAAGAGCAAGTGAATTTCCGTGCAACGCAATCCAATCACATATTATATACATGTATATTATGTTACATATTGCAGATAGAACTCTTCGTCTCTTTTCAAGCTGTCAAACGCTCTCAGCCAGCCACAGGATCGGGATCCACACGTCGAACCACAGCCTGTAAGCAAAAATTCCAGGACAATTTCCAAAAACTGGCATCGCTTCTCGATGTGTTTCTAAAGTGCTGCTGTATATGTCATATTTTTTTTCCCGAAATGTTTCTATGTGTAATATTTCTCTCTCTGCTGCCTTGGAAAAGCGCCCTCGACGAGCAGCCTTAAAGAAGCGATCAAAGGATCTAAACTGCAGAGAGTCCTGTCGTGTTTCCCATACTATGGCGCTGCTCTGCCAATCAAATTCAAATAAGATGTCAAATGTATTCAAATGTTTTACAGTATGTCATGAGCTTTGTAAAACTTCGGCTTCCAACTAAACATAATCTGAACATACTGTCCGGGTCCGTTTACATGTGAGACTCTCCTGGACCTCAGCAGTCCTTCCACGTCTAAGGGTCTAAGGGTCTTACAGCCAAGGCAAAAGTGGCTCCTAGCGATACACAGATTTGCCTAACAGCCAGCTGAACTAAAAAGATTGCCCGAAGAGAAAGGGTGGCCACTGCCTGCCACTGGAAGATATCCCTTTTTGCAACACCTCGGATGGCTGTGTCGCTTGCTGATCCGATGATCGAAGGCTTGAAGGGATCAGCAATGAACATCAGTTCACCAATGATGCGTTAGGACCACCACTACTGATTTTCTCATTCTTCACTCCTACTAGTCCTACTATCCAACCTGTTCCCGTCATCACCGGCCATGACTCAGCTTTGCACGGAAAGCCGTGGAATCTTGACCGTCGGTGGAGTCGGCTAGGCAAGCTGCTCGTGGTCTCACCTCCCAGTGTGACACGCTGTGACTCGCTGTGACACGTTCCAATTCAGAGTCGCTAGCGAGGACAGTGGCACTGAGCTGATGTGGTTTCCTCACGATCGAACGATCAAAGCAGGAGTATATAAATGCAGCATTGCTGGCACTGTGACTGGCACTCGGTGGGATATGTCACTATCCCCGCGACCTGGGATATGCGGCAGCACGAAGAGTTCCATTGCTCAACTGCGCCAATGGTGTACCACTTCAACTGTTTAATCACACTGTTAGTAATCTGTGTTGTAGGTTGAACAACAAACCTGAAGCAAGTTAAAATATGTTAAAATATGCAAAACATATCAACACCTTTGGAGTGCGGCTCCTCAAAAGTCAGGTGCCAATGTCCTGAAATCCCTGGACCAGTTCCATCCGTCTGCAGTCACTCGTTCAAAAAGAGGCAGTGGATGGCAGTGGATGGCAGTGGACTGGATCTCATGTTTAAGTCTTAGATTCTGCTGCTTTGTATATGTATGAATGGTCTTCAAGTACACATGCCAGCTCAATGCTTGAGATGATTTTTGAGTTCAAAGGCAATGCTCTACTTGGGAAGCTGCAAGCACAAGATGCTTCGCCAACCCAGCAAATGGACCCTCTCTGGGCTTCGGAATTGATCACTTCCCGCTTCTCTGTGATTCAATCACAAAAACTCTCTCAGCATCACTGGCAACCCAATTGCCAATTGCCATTTCACCACAACATCCACAACTAAGAATGCACTTCTGCTCGTTTGGGCCCAACGATATGAACATGCTGCACATGCTGTTGATCTTTTTCCCCACATTGACGTGTGGGGTTTTTGTTTTTAGTTCTGTATCCGCTCCTCCTCCTCCTTCCTTCCCGTCCTCCCTCCCTCCCTCCCTCCATCACTCACTCTCACACTCACTCACTCACACACACTCACTCACACACACACTCACTCACTCTCACTCACTCACACTCACTCACTCACACACACTCACTCACTCACACACACACACTCACTCTCACTCACTCACTCACACTCACTCACTCACACACACACTCACTCACTCTCACTCACTCACTCACACTCACTCACTCACACACACACACTCTCACACACACACTCACTCACTCTCACTCACTCACTCACACTCACTCACTCACACACACTCACTCACTCACACACACACACACTCACTCTCACTCACTCACTCACACTCACTCACTCACACACACACACTCACTCACTCTCACTCACTCACTCACACTCACTCGCTCACACACACACACACTCAGTCACTCTCACTCACTCACTCACTCACGCTCACTCACTCACTCACTCACACACACACACACTCACTCACTCCACTCACTCACTCACACACACACACTCACTCACTCACTCACTCACTCACACACACACACACACACTCACTCTCACTCACTCACTCACACTCACTCACTCACACACACACTCACTCACTCTCACGGCGTCCCTCGGGCTCCGCCTCTTTTGCGTGGCAGGCGTGGCACAATGTGCACCGCCAAGGGGTCGGATGTACGCCCTGGCGTCCCTTGGGTCTCCGCCTCTTTTGCGTGGCAGGCGTGGGACAATGTGCACTGCCAAGGGGTCGCATGTACGCCCTGGCGTCCCTTGGGTCTCCGCCCCTTTTGCGTGGCAGGCGTGGGACAATGTGCACCGCCAAGGGGTCGGATGTACGCCCTGGCGTCCCTTGGGTCTCCGCCTCTTTTGCGTGGCAGGCGTGGGACAATGTGCACCGCCAAGGGGTCGGATGTACGCCCTGGCGTCCCTTGGGTCTCCGCCTCTTTTGCGTGGCAGGCGTGGGACAATGTGCACTGCCAAGGGGTCGGATGTACGCCCTGGCGTCCCTTGGGTCTCCGCCTCTTTTGCGTGGCAGGCGTGGGACAATGTGCACTGCCAAGGGGTCGGATGTACGCCCTGGCGTCCCTTGGGTCTCCGCCTCTTTTGCGTGGCAGGCGTGGGACAATGTGCACTGCCAAGGGGTCGGATGTACGCCCTGGCGTCCCTTGGGTCTCCGCCTCTTTTGCGTGGCAGGCGTGGGACAGTGTGCACTGCCAAGGGGTCAGATGTACGCCCTGGCGTCCCTTGGGTCTCCGCCTCGTTTGCGTGGCAGGCGTGGGACAATGTGCACCGCCAAGGGGTCGGATGTACGCCCTGGCGTCCCTTGGGTCTCCGCCTCGTTTGCGTGGCAGGCGTGGGACAATGTGCACCGCCAAGGGGTCGGATGTACGCCCTGGCGTCCCTTGGGTCTCCGCCCCTTTTGCGTGGCAGGCGTGGCAGGCGTAGCACTGAGTTTGCCCCAGCCCACCGACCTCCGCCTTCTGCCAGGTCCGCCCGTTTATATTTTTTGGGGAGATGGCAAACCACCTTGGTTGGGGGGTCCCAAAGCACACGCCCGTCATTGCATATCGATACACGTTGGTTTCGCGTCGCATCGTTGTCCTTCTTTCTGGTTCGCATGGAAACGGGACTTCGCCACCTTACCCCTCGACACATGCACACACGATACAAGGTATACGTGTCCAGGCTCCTCCTCAGGTCTTATGATTTTAAAAGGAAGTGATGGTGTACCATGGCCTTGCCATCAGCCACGGTACATCTATTGTCACTTCCTCCCAATTGAATCTATGATAACCTTCGGCCTGTAACCCCGGTTCCCCCCGATCTCTTGTTGTGGGCAGATAGGCCTCTCTCTGGACGGACGGACTTTTCTAAGTAAAAGAAAAGCAAAAACTATTTTCTGTTGCTTCTTCAAAGTGATCCCCTTTGAGAAGGTCCATTGACCTTTTTTGGGATTGATCGAGTGGCCTCAAATTGATGGTTGACGAGGTCATTTTGAAGAAGCAAGTAACTAGCTATTTGCTGGAGAAGAACATCACGGCGATCACCAAGGTCATCACAGATGTGTGAAGGAAAGGGTGAGCAAGGAGAACAACAGCTACCTTGCTGTTTTGAAGCCAGGAGAAACACCTCGCCACTGCCCAGGCGAAACAGATGGACGCGTTACAGTGGCTGGCGGTGGTGTCATGTGGTTCCCACCTATCAGCAGACAAACTCAACATGTACACACACGAGACGTGTGACTGGCTATCTGCCTGCGAGGGTATCCACCTCCGTCCAAAACGCGACGGACGACCAGGTTGTCCTCGTGCGCGCTTTGGTTCAGCTGCTGCAAGCAGTAATCGCGTCAAGCTGTTGCAGGACAATCTCGGGACTGACAAAAGTTTTAGTTAGGCTCGCCATGACATTACACACTTGGTCACGTATTGTGATGCGGTGCATATCGTCGAATCATTGTCTCACAGCTATGGAATATTTCGATTTGACAACCTTAGCGATTTGCTTACACTGTTCAAATATATATATTATATATTTCAAATATATATATATATATATGTAACTATTGCCCGTTCCTATTACAATATTCTCAGGGGCTAGCGGCTAGGATGGTTCCCCCACCTTGGCGGGGGGCAGGTCGGTTCGTCGCCTGACTCAGCACCTCCGTGAGCAACTACTCCAAGGCAGGCTCTTGCCTCTGGGCTGCAGCTCCAGTTCCGGGAGTTTTGACGATGAGTTTTTTTTTAAAGAAATTGGACGAACCGATGTGAACTGATGTTTGTTCCGCAGCAGTCAGTCGGAGACATCATCATCATCATCATCATGATCATGATCATGATCATCATCATCATCATCATCATGTGCCAGCGATGTTTACCAGCCACAGGGCATGCAGAAAGAATTCACAAAATGTGCGGCTGCGCTCGAAAGAGTGCAGAACATTACTTTGGTCAGCGAAAGTATGGTGAGCACACCATCGTTTTGATAAGGAGCCAAAGCCTGGTTCGGTCAACAGCAGAGAAACACAACACAAGCGCCAGAATGCATAACGCAAGCGCCTTAGGAGCCAAGGTCTTGGGTTGCGAGGTGCTGGCCTGAGGTTGTTTTGAATGTGTGTTAAACCTAATATGGATGGTGTGTAACATAATAATTGACGTGTGGGGTTTTTGTTTTTAGTTCTGTATCCGCTCCTCCTCCTCGTCCTCCTTCCTTCCCGTCCTCCCTCCCTCCCTCCCTCCATCACTCACTCTCACACTCACTCACTCACACTCACACACACACACACGCACTCACTCTCACTCACTCACTCACTCACTCACACTCACTCACTCTCACTCACTCACTCACTCACACTCACTCACTCACTCACTCACACACACACACTCACTCACTCACACTCACACACACACACACTCACTCTCACTCACTCACTCACACTCACTCACTCACACACACACTCACTCACTCTCACTCACTCACTCACACTCACTCACTCACTCACTCACACACACTCACACACACACACAACTCACACAACTCACACAACTCACACAATCCATCTACTCACTCCCTCACTCACTCCCTCCCTCCCTCACTCACTCACTGTACTTGAACATACATACACACACACACACAAACTCACCTACCTACATACATACCTACATACATACCACCATCGTCCCTCCATCACTCTCATACTTCCTCTTCCCTTCTCGCTTTCTCTGCTCAGTCTAAGTCTAAAGAAGTTGGTAACATGTGGGGTTATCCGGTCCTTTAATTGCCTTCGCAGGTCCCGCATACACAACCAAATGCATACACGGAGCATATGCAAAAACTTCCTTCAAGGGTTTTCAACGCTTTGTAGCCATGTCCTCCAAGGAAACAATCACCTGGAACCCGTCAAGCTTCACTCCGCCGCAGTTTTCCGTGAGCCTGTGTATGGAATGTCGGAAGCTCCAAATGCCGACCAACTGCAAACCACGGCTTGTGTAAAGCCTTCGCCGGGGTTTCAGACTCTTGCAATGAAATCTGAATAGACTGAAGACAAATGTCAGATTTTTTACCTTTGCTGCCGTGATGTGCCCTCCTGGAGTAGTAGATAAGTCTTACCGCACTTGCCAACCATGCAGAGCGAGCCCAACTTGCTTTGCAGTTTCTTCCGCAAGATTGCGCAAGGTACTTAATGACTGTGATCGGAAATAAGTTAATAAAACCAAATCTTGACAATGTAAATATGATTAAATAAGATGACATAAGATTCAAAGCAAGGATGAGGTCTGCAACCGGACGAAGGCCAGAGCCGAGAGCCATGTTCAGGCTGCGTCTAGGCTCAAATCACACAAGGATAAGTGGCTTGGGGTTTCAAGACTCGGAGTCAGAACCTTCCAAGCCTGGTTCCGACATAGCACTCGCGACACTCACCGTCTCGACTTAGACTTACGGCGATGGGATTGGTTCTAGATTCCAAACGATGCAAAGCATGTCTTTAAAGCAACAACTGGAGAACAAAATGTGCAAACGAGAATCGAACAGGGAACATTTTGGAACATGTTGGAACATGTTGGAACATTAGGATGCTTGTTACGCTTGGATGCTAATGTGGTGCTGACATGTGCTTAGGATATCTCAGAAGTTCTCAGAATGAGCAAGAAATCAAGGAATTGGTGTTTGCCGCGCCGCAGCTCGAAGATGGCAAGGCGAGCAGCTTTCCCCAACGGCGTACCCCTCCCGCATTGTGCAAAGCGCGGACATTGCCAGTGTCACACCACGTGTTTTGACGGAGATGTGGGATGAGAGATGTTGAGCAAACTCGAGATCCCAATAGCCTCAAAAAAGCGGCTGGTTTCCCAATGGCAAAATACTTCTGTTCAGTTTCCAAGAAGAGCACATGCTTCATGTTGGTCAGAAGCCTGAGGTCTCAAAGAGATCCAAATAGATCAAATAGTATCTTTGTTTGACTCCATGCCTTTTCTGCACTTTAGAAAGCCTTCAGAAAGCCCTTGTTGCGTTCAACTACCGTTTTGCAGCATTGTCAAGTATTGTCATTAAGCTTTGCTTCACTCCTGGGGAGCACTCCCCGGTGGTGTCGACCACAGCAACGCCAGCGTGAAGGTCCGTGGAGTTGAAGATCTGTGCCTCGGAGCACAGGGGTGGGAACAATAGAAAGAATAGTAAAAGAATGGTAAGATATGGTAAGATATGGTAAGATATGGTAAGATATGGTAAGATATGGTAAGAAATTAGATGAAATGAGTAAGAATAGTAAGCTAAGAATAGTAAGCTAAGAATAGTAAGAACACAGTACCCGACTCAGTATAATTACAGTACTCCAGTACACTGATGAAGAATATGATGAATGCTGAGCGCAGTGAATCCTGATTGATTACATCTGATCACTATGCTTCTGATGAATTTTGGAAAATCTCTGCTGAATGGGGTGGAATGCAGTGGATAGATTGACAACTTATGAAACTTGCTGAGGCTCCCGGCTGGGTCTGGCAAGTCCACGCTCGCTGTGAACCACCCCGTTCAGGTGCGCGGGCGGTTCAATGGCAGGTCTTGCACCCCTCTGCAAAGAGATGTTCCCCCCCTTTTCGGCCAAGAGATTATCAGGAGGCAAGAGGACTTGTTGAAGATATCTGCCTCAATCTCGGGATCTGTGCTGAAAACATTTGGCACAGATTCGTGGATTAATAGACCTGTTGAGAGTCAAGTCAGTTGAAAAGTTGACAGGTTGAATCCTCGGTTAAAAGAAATGTCTACGTAGTAGCACCTTTATGGAATCAAGCATCAAGTTCTCTGGCCCAAAAGAGTGCTGTACTTGAGAGTGCGTTGCACATGTCACATCGTGCCAACACGCCGACACTGGGCAGGTTTTTCGACAGTCAGGACTGACTAGGAGCCCTTACTAACATTGCTGCTTCCTATCTCACATAATCTTGCATAGTCTCACATATCAAGCGCAGCAACCAAAGTCATTTTCTGATACTAACAAGTTCGGAAGTTCCGAAGTACTGTATATATTTTGCAGAGCAATTGGGCGTCCCAGTTTAGGATGTTTCGGGGTCCCCAGGTTTCAGAACCCCCACAAAACCTGAGCTGTACTCCAACCACTCAAAGTGCACATGTCCAGCACAGCTTCTACTGATGCCTAGACTGTCAGCAGCTGTCACAGCCGGTCAGCTGTGGGCAGCTACGAGACGCAGTGACTGGGACCAAGGTGACCGAGGCAAACATGTGGAAGTCAACGAATGTCAAAGATGTCCACATTTTTTTTGATTGCCTGACATGAGATGTCCAAGCATCTGCTATGATCTAACACTCAAACTCCTAGCTTGTTACAAGACCACGGCTCTTGTGATCAGTATTAAGAGTTGTCCTTTGACACATTTCAGTCAACAAAAACAGGCAGTTTCCCGGAAAATCCAGGGAACGTGTAATTTGAGTGTGTGAAAATTGTAAATAGCTGGATCCAATTTGAATCAATTAGATTGCATGGCATCCATGGCATCCATGGCATCCATGGCCCCAGTCAGTGACTCGCCAGGCGCGAGATCACTTGGCACAAAATCCCTCGCGGACTGATATTGGGCTGATTCAAGCTATGCCCTTTGGAAGACAACGCGACTGCCGTCGGCTGCATGGTGGTCCTTCCATTTGCTGTCCATGAAAATCCACACACGACACGTTCCCCTATCCACTTAAAGGGCAGATTGCGTTTCTTGTTGATCCTCGCTGCGTTTCAAAACAAAGGGAAGAACGGATCGGTTCTGGGTCAATAGTTACAAGGTCACTAGACCTCGACCTGGCACCTGGTTGGTGCCAATGTCAGCGATTCGGATTCGACATTGTTGATACCAATCTCCAGGATAAAAGATGATAAAAGAATGTAAAGACTATGGCGGAGCAGTTGATGGGAAGTTCATGGAAGTTCATCTCGGGGTGATTATGCCATCTCAAGTATACGATTGGAGGAGTATGAGCTCAAGATCGGTGTAAGACATCGCAAGACGCAAGACGCCAGACGCAAAGTAGAGAGGCTCCCAACGTCTGGTGGTACAGGGGGAAACTCCTGACAGCAGGACTCATTGGCCTGGTGTTTGAACAGTCGAAAGGGGTATGATCAGTATGCACTATTGTTCGGTTTGAAGTGAGAGATCCAAGGCGTAAGGTTCCAAAATGCCATAGACAAACTATGATGCCCCTAGCGCAACTTAATCATAGGCCAAAACAACAGCTAATCACGTCAGATCACCTCCCAACTTCGGAGAATGATGGAACAATGTTCTACTGCCGCGCTCAACTCTCCAAAGCCAACATAGGTTCACTAGATTTTAGATGATTTTAGCATATTTTAGCTATAGCTATAGCAGCTATGGACAACTGGGGAAATTGCCAAATCCTTTGACGCTCTGGCTGGCTCGGGACACGCCCCCGAGCCGCCCAGAGTGAAACAGGCAGGGACACTGGGTGACATCTTTCATACAAGTAAAACGAAACAAATGTTTGAAAGAATCGCGTTTCAATACGCCTGTTTCTCAGCATCTCTCTGCACAACTCTTGACTGGTGATGTAGCACCCTCGTTGTCTCGCATTGAGCCAGAACATCTGATTCGTGCCGAAGCCACAAGTCAAGATTGATACACCGGCAGCGTCTGTACACACCAGAATGGCTCCTGCATTCAGTGAAACAAAGGGCTTCTCTGCTGATGCTAGTCTCTTCACATGAAACTACCGGTTGACCCGGCAACAAGAGTTCAACACGACTAAAAACATATGAAATTGACATAACATTGACATTGGGTGTAACATTGACACAACCCCAATTGGACCTTCGGCCCAAACATGCAACTCTGTGCATTCCAGTTCAGCAGTTCACATCATGTCCGCTGAATCCATGAAGGGTTCGATTGTTGGCTTCCAAAAATTGGCCAAAAAAACAACCCCAGATCCTCCTGGATCCGTCACGAAAGAGGCTTCCCTCAAGAAATCATGGGACAGACCGACAGACCCCAGCGCCGCCCGCGAGGGGACAACTGAGGGGACAACTGGAGACTCAAGATACGGAAGGAAGGCCTCTGGAGGCCTTCAGGCCATGGCCCAAAATTTGGGCAGATCGGTTTCATGTAGCTTTTCCCAATTCAGATACAGATATGTATAGTTTGAAGTGTTGCTATCACTGTGTATTGTACCTATAGTCTAGTTACCATGTAACATCCTAATTCTCGTGGAGTCTCATAGACTTTTGGGCCAACCATCCCATCTTGAGACACATCGTAGATCGAAGTAGTGCATTCTTTACACATGCATTTGAGTCCTCGTGCATTTGGTGCATTCGTATTCACCGAAACCTAGCTGCTACATCGGTGGACTTCGGCCCTCCGCAGAGGTGAAGGGCAGGTTTGATTGGACTTCCGTGACTTCCACGTATTTCTGATATCTTCTGATTCCGATGCCTGCATCATTTCTCACCATTTTTGAACATCCCGCCGAAAATCTGGAAGTCAATCTGCGTCAATCCTGGCCCTGTCTGTATTTACATCACGCTGCAGGTCTCCTCTCAGGTCATCATCAACGCTAAAAATGACTTGGGGAGGTCATGATGCCTTACATTGCCTTATCATATCTTATATCATTATATTTTATAATATTTTTTAATTATCAATTTGATGTGTCTGATCACATTGACATAGCTCCGTATAGATCTCACAGTGTCTTACAGGTTGTTTGACTCAGTGTTTGAGAGCCGCTGACAAAATCAAAAGCATGCCACTTTTTTAGCCGTTGGCAGGATACTGAGAATTCTCATGGAGACGCGTCGTCTACATGTGAAAAATCTGTAAACAGGCGTGGAACCACTAGCTGCTAGTCTGAAAAGGGAAGTCGTGGGACATTCGTAGCAGCGTAAAGGATGAAAATTGCAACTTCCAATTGGGGCAAAGCTAAAAAGCTCCAGTAGTTTAGCACCAGTACCACAAGACGTTTACGTACTTTTATCACATACCTGTACCGCAGCCCTGGAGACACCCGTCCTGCTAGCCCATGCCTTCCAGACAAGCTCCAAATACAGGCACTTGGTCAAAATATGTCAAAATAAAACTGCTTGAAATTGCAAGTTTCATCAAGTTTCTGGATTTCCAAACCTTTCCTAAGCAAGTCACAGATAGTCACAGTGCAGCCCTCGTTTTGGCAGCGACTCAGCTTTGCCAGCTCGCATCAAGTCTTGCACTCCAACACAAGATCTGGTCATGCTGACGCCTAGGGATCCTGTTGCATTTGTGGCAGCCCCAAGTCTTTCCGAATCGAGGCTTCCAGCAGCTGTACAGTGTGCAGCGCCCTTGGCTGTGTAGCTCTGTCAATCAAAAAGCAAGGCAGAAGTTGATCCGACGCAAAAAAGACCCACTCTTCCCGATTTGGGGAGGTGTGCGTTTCATAGTTAGGTCTGCACGGGCGGCCTCGATCCTGCCTCTCATTGGCTCGATATTGACGTCCGGGTAGGCCCAGACATAGAAAGCACCCTCCACGTCCATGCGCGTAGTCCTCAAACGACAGGAAACTGGGCGAAGTGTAAATCCCAGCCCCGTAGAAACCATCGTCTGTTTGGTTCAAGATATGCTTCTGGTCCGGTACCTGCAGGTTGGTGTAAATGATGTTCTTGAAGTTCTTGGAAGGCGTCCAATGATATACAACCCATGGGCCTGCCAGCCGTGGTACTAAGCGAGACTTTTCCTCAACGGAGTGGTCTAAACAAAGACAGTGTCATCTCTGGGACGGAAAAATGTCAGTAAAAAAACAAAGACAATGATACCATTCAGACTAACCATAAATGACTAAAATGTGCTCTCTGGCAGAGTAAGCTTCTCGAAGTGCCCTTTCTGCAAAACTCACAGCAAGATCAAAGTTAACAATGCAGCTTGACAACAAATTCTGAGTGTCGGCATCACATCTCAACTGCTCCACCCAACGAGCTGCCATTGAAACTGGAGTTTCACACTCCGGCAAGTCTTCGGTCTTCGCCTTAGCTATGGCCAGTTCATGTTCCTGCAAGTGCTGCAAATATTCTGACGGCATAAAGAGATCTCCACAGACTTCGCACGGCAATTCAGGAGATGGTAGAGCTTGCTTGGTCTTCTCGTGATCATTCATGTGTTCCAAGAAGTCGCTGGGATCCAACATCTCGCCGCAAAGCTCACAAGGAATCAGGGTGTGTTGCCTTGAATGTGCCAGGAAGTCCCGCGGTGAGATCAATTTGTCACAAATTTGACAAGGCAGGCCACAAGTCCATGCTTGATTGGGCATGGAGCTATCTGAGCTATTCTGCGTTTCAGATTGCGGTTTCCGACGTTTTGAGCGCTTTCGGCCGCCCTCTTCCTGAGTCCCCTCGGTTTCAATTGTGGAGATTTCAGGTTCGTCAGGTTCCTTAGGTTCCTTGGGTTCCTTTTTTCTGGGAATGGCGGCGCTTCCTGGAGTCTTTCGTTTCTGCGGCGCCTTTGGCCCCCAGGTAGGCAATTCATCTTCTGAGTCGGAGATGGTAATCATGGCACCATCCAATGGTCGGCAACCCTACCCTCGAACCAGAATAGCGATGCATGTGCAATGAGCAATGTGTTAACTTCATCGCAGCACTGTGTGATGCCGGGCCATACGAGTACGAGTACTACAAGAATGGACATTGCCTCCTGCTCCGACACAAAGTTGTCCAGCGAATCCTGGCCCCAAATTGGCGGCCAGAACAGAGCGTGGGATGAATGATGCGATATATCTGGATTGCCGATCCATCCATCCATTCATCCACCAAACTAATAGATTTATATAAATTTAAGCGACAGTACATATACAGGATGATATTTGACGTATAAGGATGGCCCAAAAAGGTCAAGTCCAAAAGATCCTGAAGTAAGACCACAGAGGGGTTAAAACAGCGTGGGGACATGGGACTGTGTGCGGATCTCTCAGAGCCCTGTGCGTGCCTTGCGGGTATTCGACTCGGGGGACATGGGTGGAGTAGTGACCTGCACGCAAAGATAGGCCATGCTACGGTCTGATTGCTACGGGCTGTTTGTCCGTTTACAAAGAAGTTTCAAACGTGTCAAAAAAGTTGATTGGCTCAATGACAAATTAAAACAGAACTATTTTGATACAGAATTAACAACAATTTGCTGACAAATGCGGACAGCTTCTTTACCTATAGGTCTGTTTTGCACAATAAGGACAAGCCCGCATTCTCTGCATTTCTGTGCCACTGCCAGCCCCATTCCTCCTGTTTCAAAGGCGACCCCTTCCTATATATGTGCATATGTACGGTATGTGTATGTATATATATATGTACTGTGTATCTATACAGATATATGTATAGTTGTACTGTTGTACATATTCGTGTACATATATATATATATAGTATAGTATAGTATAAATTTAAGTGATAGTATTCGTATTCGTACTTTCGTATTCGTATTATATAGTATTTGTTTTAGTATTCGTATTAGCATTAGTATTAGTTTTAGTATATTCATGCATATTGTGTACATCCATCCAAACATACATTGCATTGCATTACATTCCAGTCCAGTCCATTCAATTCCATTCCAAAACTAAACAACACAATACAACAATTACAATATAATTACAATATAATTGCAAATTACAATATAATTACGATATAATTACTATACAATTATAATATAATTACACAGTATTACAATATACTTACTATATACTTACAATTCAATTACAATAATTACAATATAATTACAATACAATTACAATGTAATTACAGTATGATTACTATATAGCTACTATATAATTACTATATAATTACTATATAATTACTGTATAATTACTATACAATTACTATGTAATTACTTTATAATTACTATAGAATTACAATACAATTGCTATATAATTACTATATAATTACTATACAATTACAATACAATTACAATATGATTACTATATAATTACTATACAATTACAATATAATTACAATATAATTACAATATAATTACAATATAATTACTATATGATTACAATATAATTACTATATAATTACAATAAAATTACATAGTATTATAATATACTTACTATATACTTACAATATAATTACAATATGACTACTATATAATTACTATATAATTACAATATAATTACAATATAATTACTCTATAACTACTGTATAATTACAATATAATTACTATATAATTACTATATCAAGGAGGGCCCTCAATGAAGAGGGCTGAAATCAGCGTCCGTTAGCGACCCCAAATTCAGACCTTTTGCACACACAGCACGAGGCCCCACGTATAGGGTCACAGCAGCGGCTCCCCCCCCGCTCCCCCAGGATCAATGTTGTTTCCTGGTGTTAATCACTGCAGCAGCCAACTTCCAAAGCGTCAGGTCTTCACAGCAAGACATTTTCGTCAACCTTGATTCCGGGGGGTGCAGGGGGGGGCCGCATGTGGCCGGAAAGGCCCTTTGAATTAGGAAGAAACACATGTGCCGTCACGGCAGGTGGCACATCACAGCTGCAAGATGAAATGCTTCACTGGCCGTTGGCGATGTCAATCTTTGCATTGGCTCCACTGCAACACTAGCATGCTTCGGTGTGAAACTACTAAGCACGATGTCACAACTTTATATTGGCTCTGCCGCAAAACTACTATGCTTCTGTGTGAAAACTACTAAGGGGAATTTCAAACTTTGTATTGGCTCGGTGGCAAAACTACTAAGGAATTGTTCAATGGACAAAAAAGGAAACACTTTCTTCTATTTCTTTTCAATTGGCAGAATTCCTTAGTAGTTTTGCGTCCAAGCCATTGTGATTTCAATTTCACGGGTTAGTAGTTTTTCATGCGTGCATGAGCTGGTGACTCTGCCGTGCCAATGCAAAGTCTGCGAAAATGGTTGGAAGTATCCTTAGTAGTTTTTTGGGGCCACAGCAAAAACAGGTGCCAAAGCACGCAAAAACGTGTTTTTGATGCCTTGGGAGACAGCAGTCGTTAGGTAACCTGCTGCGTGTGACTTCACCACATTCCTGTCTGACTCCTTTAGAGACAGCAGTCTCAAGTGCTTCAGTGAGACATATAGTTTTGAGGAAGCTGCTGCTGGCTCCTCGGGAGACAGCAGTCACAAGTGCTTCAGTGAGACATATAGTTTTGAAGAAGCTGCTACTGCTGACGGGTCATTTTGAAGGCCAGGGGCCACGAGAGGTCTTGGGTGCTCAGTTTGCCCGCCGATTTCAGGACTCTGCGTCGTTTTTTCTCCTGGCGCAGGGCTGAAACAAAAAGATTGAAAGTACAAGTGGTGCGATGCAGGTGCAATGCAGCTTCACCAAAAAAAACCTGAGATGGGAAAGATGAAGGTGCAAGTGGCATGATGGAATGTCAATACAGCTTCACCAACACAAACATGGCACACAAGGATGAAATTGAAACAGCCTGGGCCTTGACTTCTCGACTGGTTTGCTGCAGCTGGCGTTTCAAGGCCTGCCTTTCAGCTTTCAAAGCAGCTATACGGTCATCCATCCCGGGCACATGGGCTACAGCAGCACCTTCCGCAGCATCCCTTTCCATACCAGCGGCGGCAGACGACATGGCTATAGATATAGTCAAATTGTGTTTTCTGCGACGAGCTGTGAGCAGTGCTAGCTGCAGAAGCCATGCCGTCTGGACAGCTTCCATGCCAATTTTCTCAAACTGCACAACTGGAAGATAGTGTGACAAAACATGGCCGGTGGGGGCCCAAAACTGGGGGCTTGAAAAGTGATGCCAAAGGGACTCCCGTACCATGTACCCCCATAGTATTATGGGAAAAAAATATTTGTCCTATAGTGCCACCCACGTCTGCAAATCTTTTGGATCCACCCGGAGCGGCAGCATCAAAGAAAAAGAGCCTTATACGCGTGCGCCATTTGGCGTCGCGCTGGCCAAACCCACTGCATCTGCTGGGTGTCGGCCTGTCAGGCCCAGGCCAAGGCACCCCTGCACCCATCAAGTGTCGAAGCGCTTTGTGCACTTGACCTGGGCCATTGCAGCCCACTGCATCGAAGCTTTTCTGCCATTGCCGAGCTGCCCAAAATTCGTGTGGGGCTTGCATGCACTGCCATAGCCAGGCCAGAGGAGGCACTAAACCATGCTCTGAATATGAGCGCAACTCCTGGTGTTTCCTTTTCAAATATTGTTTAAAAGGGGAGAAGCCTTGCAGATCAAGCGGCTGTAGGTAATCCGTTGTCTGCGCTGGGATATATACAAGCTGCAGCTTGCACTTGCGTGCCATTGCCATGACCTGCCGTGGCAGGTGTGCCGGCGCACAATCAAGGAGTACAACGCCTTGTTTTGACGGAAAACCTTTGAGCACTTCTGCGATCTCTTTGAGAATTTGGGCACTGTTGGCAGCAGAGGTCCAAGCGGACTTTTGCCGCAAAACGCAAACGAGTTTGTGGCAAAGCGCGCTGGGCGCGCAAGAGCTTCTTCGTGAGTTTCACCTGGGTGCCAATGAGAAAATGAGGCAACTTCCCTTGGATGTGCTTGCAGTTGCAAATCACGCTGACATAAGTCCACGCAACTCGAACATGTTGCTTCAGCACCTGTGCATGCGGCTGTTTGCCACCTGCTGTCCGTGGCTTTGCCACACATCCAATAGGCGTGTGGCCGACGCTAGTCTCATCCAGATTTATAAAAAGCAGATTTATAAAAGCTGCCACAGCAGATGGTCCGCCAAAATGTCATGACCTGCTCGAGCGCTGCAGGAAGTGAAAGACAAAGCCTTATTATATATAGGGTCCCCAAATATAATTCCGAGGGAAGAAATTGATTGAAAATGGGGGCCTATTTTTGGTGCCAGATTCTGGCCCCAAAAATGGGACCGCCCAACCGGGATTAAGTAGGCTTATACAGGCATGAAACATGAGGGGGACCCATTTTTGGGGCCACATTCCGGCCCCAAAAATGGAGCCACCCAACCCAAAAAAAGAAGACAACATGTTGTAAGTTGGCTGGCCCGCGCCTTGTCGCGCAGTACAGCGGGGTCTCTGCTAACAACTTGCGTCAGCACCTTCCGGCGGACGCCCCACCGAGCCCGTCAGCGCTGCACCCACTTATTGACCATGCGTTTGTTTGGCACACCCATGTCCAGCTTCTGGCCATGGAAGGCCTCCTCCCACTTCAAAAACGTGTCCATCGCAGAAGGTGCTTGACCATGATTCGTATTGCAGTCATAGACCCACTGCTCCGTGGCTGCTTCGGCCAGGAAGGCTTGCGCTTTGCGTGAAGCTGTGTCACCCAAAGCGGTCAAATCTGGCAGCGGCGTCGTCAGCAACATCTCTTGGATCAAAGCTGCCGTGGGGTACCCATTGCTGCCATAGGATATCGTTGTCAAAGCACAAGCCATGCGGAGAGTCAAATCCATGTTAAAATTCGACAGCATGTAAACAGCTACCACAGTTTTGCGGGCTGCCGCTCCAAGGCCGGCACAGTGCAACCTTTTCCGTTTTTTGGCATTCTGCCGATAAGCCGCTTTCAGTGCTTTGCCGTTCTGCACCAAGGCTTCCTTCAAGTCTGACACCCTGGCATCAGATGTGCCTTCGGCCACACCACAGGGCGGCTGCATGACTGACCGCAGAAAAACTA